ATTTTTTTGTACCGGGGATTGAACTCGGGACCTTGCACTTGCGAGGCAGGCACCAGAACCACTGAGCTAAATCTCCAGCCCAAAGCTGCTATATTTTTGAACACTGTATGAGGCAGAAGCCCTATGAAGTTAGAAAACACTCTCCCAAACTATACCTTCTTCTACAATGTCAAGAAAAGTGATTTCTAAAAAAAAAAAAAAAGTGATTTCTTTAAAAATGAGCAAACTGATGTCAAGTCTCATGTAAAGTTGTGAGAAAAACAAGAAGGAGAAAAACTATTCCTAAAAACAATGAAAACATGCCTAAAAGATATAGCACAACTCAAAATTTTGAGTTCCTATATAAAAACAAACTGAGGCCTTGCCTAGCATGGGCAGGTCCTCAGTTCCATCACCAAAACTACCAAAAAAAAAAAAAAAAGAATTACATTGAAAGACACTAAGAAAATAATGACATGAAATAGCATGAACTATAGAAAAAATTGGAAATTGGGGTGACAGAACTCAGGAAATAGAAATTTTTAAAAAATTTTAGAAGTGAAGGCTAAAATAGAAGAAACACAAGAATGTATCAATACAACATAGGCTACTTCAGGAAAACCAGAAGGTGAAAAGAGGGAAAATTTTTTTAAAAAGATAAAAAATATTAAAGACAGAATATCCAATATAATAGACAATTGGAGTTCTTGAAGAATAAATTTAAAGGGCAAAAAGTATTACAAGTTATACTTTGGAACCAGGTGTGGTGGTATATACCTGTAATCTCAACAACTCAGGAGGCTGAGGCAGGAGGACCCCCAAGTATCAGATGCCAGCCTAGGAAATTTACCGAGATTGTATCAAAAGTTGGGGGAGGGGGTGCGGTGGCTATGTACATAGTTCAGTGCAAAGACCCTGGATTTAACCCCAATACTGGCCCCCAAAAAGAATAAAAATAAAGCTTATACTTCAGCAAAAAATTTTTTGTAAGATTTTAAGCTACACTTCAAAAGAGCACAGTACATATCTAAGAAAATCAACCCAGAACAACAAACACCAAGACATACTCTAGTAAAATTACTAGACTTTAGATATGTAGGCATAGGATTTAAAAATGAAAGAAAATTAGATTACCACTTTGATGACGCTTTATGCCATAATTAAGATATTTAAGATACCTTTTTAAAGAAGCCATTTAACATCTACCATAGCAAAACTGTTTTTTTGTTTTGTTTTATTTTTGTTTTTTTTCCCAGCACCGGGGATTGAACTCAGGATCTTGAGCTTGCCAGGCAGGCGCAGCACTGCTGAGCAATATCCCTGGCCCATGGCAAAACTGTTTTTAAGAAAAAGGGGCACAAATTTAACAACATAAGATCTTTGGGAATATCTTTTTTTTTTGGTACTGGGGATCAAACTCGGGACCTTGCGTTTGCGAGGCAGGTGGCAGCACCACTGAGTTAAATCCCCGGCCTGGAAATATCATTTTTACAAGCCTTTCCTGAGGAATCCATAAAAAAATAAGCTTTGGGCAATCAAAATGACTAGAGAGGTAGACATAATAACAGGTATAAACATTAAATATACAATTACTTTAAGAACTAAGGTCAAATGCGGGTTAAATATGCTGACAAGATAGATAAGGCTACAATTACAAAAATTATGGGAGAGAAGTATATGCAAAATATTTTGATTGTTTAATTACATTAGTTGTAAAAATACTCATTCTGTTACTTTTTTTTTTGGTACCGGGGATTGAACTCGGGTCTTTGTGCTTGTGCAGCAAGCGGCGAAACCACTGAGCTAAATCCCCGGCCCAATTCTGTTACTTTCATGTACTGTACGTGATGGGTCAAAACAATGAACAGGGGCCAGGGATTTAGCTCAGTGGCATGGCACCTGCCTTGCAAATGCAAGGTCCTGAGTTCGATCCCTGGTACCAAAAGAACAAAAACAAAAAACCCCCAACAAATGAACAGTTATAGTATAATCTATAATCCCAGTATCCTTGGGAATCAAGATTGTGTTGAAAAAGAGAACTACACTTCATAGTTGTTAAAACTAGGGCTATAATATAGAATTATAAGCATTACTATTAATTCTTAAATTACTTTAGTTCCGTCCAAAGAGAAATAGCTTGAAAGTATAGGTGAAGTTATCTACTTGTAGTAATGAATATCCAGTCTCTAGATTATAAATCATGAAATATTTTCCACCAAAAAAAACCCCTCAGGATCTAGTTGTGGTGTTGCACACCTATAATCCAAGCAATCTGAGAGGCTGAGGCAGGAGGATCATAATTGAAAGCCTAGACTGGGCAACTGAGACTTATTGAGACCTGTCTCAATAAAAAAATTTAAAAAGGGCTTGGGGATATGGCTCAGTGTGAAGCCTCCAGGTTTAACCCTCATGAAGGGGTGGGGGTGGGGGACAGAGCTTTTGGGATGAATGACTAATTCTAGGTCCAGGTCTGAGGCAGGAACTGAACAGAATGAGTTTGGACTATCTTGTATCAGATATCAAAGCAGGTGTCAAAGACTATTTCTCATGACTGGATCAAGTCAGAACTAGAAAAATTCAGGTCACCAGTCACCCAGAGGCCTAAAATAGGACATCTTGACCTTCAAAAAGGGTAATGATTGATATGGCATGAAACTCTCAAGAGCATGTATAAAGTCACCTTCAGCAGTGACCACCTTGAAGGGAATAAGCCTCCACTACACTCTCTTGCCATGATGTACCATGCTGTGACAAGCCCCTAGAGATGGGGCTAATGAAGCATGTACTAAAACTGTGAGCCAGGATAAATTTTCTTCTTTTTATTTTATTTGGTACCAGGGATTGAACTCGGTTCCTTGTGCTTGTGAGGCAGGCGCTGGAACTACTGAGCTAAATCCCTGGCCCTTGTTTTATTTTTTGAGACAGGATCTCGCTACATAGCCCAGGCTGGCCTGGAACTCAGGGTGATCCTCCTGCCTCAGCCTCCTGAGGGCTGGGATTACAGGGGTATGTCCTGGATTTTTTTTCCTTCCTTTTGTTTATATGAGGTATTTTCACAGTGATGGAAAGCTGACTACCACAAAATAGAAAAGGCAAGAACTAAATTGTTCTTTATTGAGTAACGTTTCCAACTTTTGGACTCCATTTTTTTGTTGTTATTGGTGGTGATGGTACTCGGACTTGAACCCAGGGCCTTCACAGTGAGCTGTATCACCAGCCCTTTTTTATTTTGAGATGGTCTTGTTAAGTGACTAAGTTGCCCAGGGTATGCTTGAACTTGGAATCCTCCTGCCTCAGACTCCCAGAGTGCTGAGATTACAGGTATGTTTTAAAATTTACTTTCAGCTACCTAATCAAGAAACAAACACTGAAGCTTTATATATAGCTTCTTGTTACCTCCAGAGGAAAAATGAAGTTTCTTGTAGTAGGAAATTTATTGTAAATAGTTACAATGGTAGTGAAAAGTACCCCCCCCCAATCCATTTGGCAGCATTAGCTTTACTAATAAACTCAGCACCTACAGGGTACTTGTAACAAAACTCCTGTTTTGATGACATTTACCATATACAAAGTGGTTTCTCATATGTCATCTTCAACAAAGCCTCAAAAGGTAGGAATTAGGAACATCCATAATGTCAACTTGCTATGTGGCAGGCACTATGCTAAACCCTTTATATCTATGGAACTCTAAAACAACCATGTATTATTTTCATTTCAAATGAGGGAATGAGGCCTAGGAGATTAAGCAACTTATCCAGAGTCACTGATCCACTATGTGGCAAAACCAGGATTTTAAACCTAGCCAGTCTGATCTGAAGTCCTGGTGAGTGGATTGAGGGTCAGAGAGTTAAATGACCTGATGTAGAGACTTCCTTGCAGGAAGACATAAAAATTCCATCATCACACTGCTTCTCCCTAGTCTGGACCTCTGGTGTGCCACTCTGGAGGAAGTCTAAAGCACCACCTGATACTAAGCTTAACAAGCTTGACGTTCTAACCAAATAAAAATGAGTTCTAGCTCCCTTTGATGTTTACTGTAAAAATGGAAAGATACTAGTTTTGGTAAAAGAAACAAGGAATTTGGCTGTTGAAAGTAGTATTCAAAATACTTTTTAAAAAAACTCAATTTGAAAGAAAAGTACTTGATTAGAAGAGGTCCAAATTTGATAACCCTGGTTCTTTTATATCAGGCTATTTGTAATACTATGATCTTTGAGTGAGAAACAGAACTAATACCTGGAGTTGTAGTTTACAAAATTGAGAAACCTTTGTTCAGCTATAGATACCAGAAAGTTATGTGATAAAATTCTGGTCACACAGTTTTTTGTTGTTGTTTTTTTGGGGTTTTTTTGGTACTGGGGCTCGAACTTGGGACCTTGTTCTTGCAAGGCAGGCTCCGGAACCACTGAGCTAAATCCCCGGCCCCACACAGTTGTGATATATTGCCTGTACAACTTTTTATTACAGAAGTTGGGAAAATGCTGATATTATCTGATTATTAACTCTTTAATGAGAACCCAGGGGCTGGGGTTTACTTCTGAAGCACTTGGTTTCTCCCTAGGGAGGCAAAGAAAATTGAGATTTTTCTCAGAAGGGTTGAGTGGTTGGGTAGATTGCAGATAGGGATTTTGGAACTAAAAAGCAGTTGTAATTAGCCTTGACTCTTAATTTTTATTCCTCTAATTTTCATCAAAGTAAAGTAAGAAAGTGGTTAAAAAGTAAAGCTGTACAGACTCAATGACCAGACCACTGACCTCCCCAACTACTGTTTCACAATGGCAGCCCTTTTTTCCTTACCATGATTTTCCCCTTTAACCTCTGTTGTAAAATACAACACATACAAGAAGTCCCCCCAAACAACTAGGTTATGCCTCAACTATGTAAAGAAAGTCACTCAATATGTCTGCTTTTCTTCACTCAACCATTGTTTTAACACCTGTATCAGTATTTACTAGAGAAACAGAACACAAGATATACAAATATATATGAATTTACAAGATTGGCTTACAATGGCCACCTACAGAGTCCGATGAGGAAGAGTACACAGGGTCTGTCTGCACACTGGAGACTGAAGGATTCAGTCGAAGGTCTGGAGCTCACTGCAGTGTCCTGTGAGTCCGTATCTGGAGGCCAATGCGTCTGTGCTGGAGGCTGAAGTCTACCCTAGAAGGCTGAAGGATCCACGCCAGAAGCCAGAGTCTGTGCTAGAAAGCAGGAGACAACGCCCAAAGCAAAGACTGGAGCTCCTCCAAAGGAACAGAAGCAGCAGCGCCCTTCCTCATTTCCCATTTTTATCATCCAGGCAAGGAGCGGCCATGGGGTGGGTCCTCCACACCTAGATCTTCTACGCCCTAGGGCGTGGAATTGCTGAGACTATTTAGTTAAGCTTAACTTCTCCAGTTGACACAATCACTCAACCGACACAAGATCCATTCATGTTGTGTGTGGCTGTAATTGCTTTATTTTTATTGCAGTATAGGTTTTAATGTATGAATGTAACAGTATATTTGTCTATTCCATCTTGATGTGAGTTTTTATTTTTGGCTATTATAAATTACTGTTATGAGCATTCTTGTACATCTAACTGGTGAAAACAAGCACATTTTTTTCTTTTTGGTACCGGGGATGGAACTCGGGTCCTTGCACTTGCGCAGCAGGCGACTTAACCACTGAGTTAAATCCCAGGCCCACAAGCGCATTTTTTCTATAAAATGGGATTTGTATTGGGCCTTGGGTATTTATTTCTTCCACAATAATCCATCCATTAATCACACTTTTTTTGACCAGTCGTGGTACCAACTTATTCTACCAGCAGTACTGTATATGAAAGTCTCCATTGTTCCAAATCCTTAACAACATTTGGTATCATCAATTTCCAGATGTATCAAATGTTGTGGATGTGTAGTATGTATCTTGTAGGGCTTGTTGGTTTTTACCACTTAAAAAATAGCAATACAGAAAACCACACAAAAATAAATGGATAGCTTAATTATAATAATAAGAAACTTATATCTATCACCCAGGTCCAGAAATAAACCCTTCCCAAGAAACAATCAGCTATTTCCAAGACCTCACCATGTATTCCATCCTAACTGACCCCCTTCCCCTAAAATCAACCATTAAACTGAGTTTTTTAAAAAAATTTTTTGGTACCGGGGATTGAACCAGGGCCTTCACATTGTTACACCCCTAGCCCTTTTTAAACTTTTAATTTCTTGTCGAGTTAAGTTGCCCAGGCTGGGGTCAAATGTGCGATCCTCCTGCCTCAGCCTCCCAGTGATAGAATTACTTGTGTGTGCCACCCTGTCAGGCCCATAAGTTTCTTTACACTTTTGTCACAGAAGAGGATAGTCCTAGATAACTATAGTTTATAGTCTCACTTTTTTTTGGTACCGGGGATTGAACTAGGGACCTTGTGCTTGCAAGGCACGCAGTGGAACCACTGAGCTAAATCCCCAGCCCTAATCTTGCTTATTTTAAAAATGTATTTCTTTTTTAAATCTCCTAAAAGTTCTTTTCTATTTTCTTATTTTCCTTAGCATTTATCTTCTATTCAATCTGAACCATTTGACCTATAGTTTCCCAGAGACCAAATTAAATGTGACAGTCTTAAGAAAAACGATCATTTCCAGTATTCCATTAAGGGCATGACTTTCTTCCGTCAGGCCCCACATTCTAGTGGTCCCACAACCTCCCAATACACAGGCCTGTGGAGGATACTTGATCCAAACTATAAAATTATTCATACTTATGATTGTGGTCAAATATATGTTAAGACTTGTAAATCAGAACCCAAAATCAAGAAGTATGTATTTCATTTTCTCATCCCTGTTTGAAATCATATTTGGCACTACTATCTTGTGAAATTTTAAGAAAGTAAGATGACAGCTCTATGCTGTTTTATCCCTTATGACTGTACCTATGATCTTTTTTATCCCCTTCTCTTCCTTGGACAGTTGAATCAACATGATTAGAAAGAGGTCACATTTTAACTGTATGTTTCCTCCAAATGCCTTTGACATTCCTGCCTAGACATGTCTTGTTCACAGCTCTATTTCTGATGCCTAGCAAAGCTATCGAATAAATGAATGGCTCCAGAAACATTTTCCTTTGTGAAAGACTGAAACTGTTCATCACAATCATCTGACTAAAGACCAGTAATATGGCCTAAGTGACAACATTAAGTTTATCAGGATTTTCTTCAGTTAATAAGTAATGCCTAGTATAAAAAATTTAGGAAACAAAGGAAGTCAGGAAAAGGAATCACCTATAGTTCTCCAGCCAATCTTCTAATTCCAAAACTGCATTTTCACCTCGTGACCAGAGTGCTCAGGCCTGCCTCTAACCACTTTCTTCTCATTCTTCTCTTCATGCTGTTTCTCCATTTCGCCTCTCATGTGCTCCTGAAATACCAGTTCTGTGGTTTTGCACATTTCTACTTTCCAGTACTTCCATAACGTCACTTCGGCAACATTGATTTGGGGGAAAATAAAACTTGCAATTATTAGTTAATTTCCTTTGACTTGCCAGTGCAAAGTGGGGAAAGCAAGCTAGGCAAAGGACAGAAGCAGCTGGCATGCCCTCATCATACCAGGCCCCCTCAACAACTCTTCCAAGCATGTTTCAAGTGTCTGTGAATGATTGTTGCTCTTCACTCACACAGGAACTGCTCATCTTAACCATTCTTTGGATACCGACCCTCTGTAAGCATGTAGTAGTATTTAATCAATAAAGCTTAACAGTAATTACATCTTTTCTTTTTTTGCATTTTAATCTTCTATACTAAATTGTCATTATTTACATTAACATTTCAAATAATTCAGTAAACCTTTATTGTGGGCCTGACATGTGGTATAAAGAACTTGTTATGTACCAGAAGGAATATATACAGAGAAAAACCCTATGAGATCTTGCTTCGAAGAACTTGGAGGCCTACCAGTGAGAAAATATGGGTATTAATTAGGTATATTATAAATTCACTCTTATAATAAGATTATTCCAATTGAGGAAAGCCAGGTAGCCAGGGAAGGGTTAGTGAGGACAGCCATACTCAAGCTAAGATCCTTTGTGCCAGATCCCAGTTCAGTCTTTAAGGAGACAGCACCTTTCATCTAGAGCTCTGGGAGCCCTGAGTCACCAGGTAAGAAGTCTACATATCCTGCTGGAGAGATCACATGGAAAGCTACGAAACTACATGGAAACAGAACTGGACTGCTGAGGTCAGGCTTCCAGCAGTGTCTAACAAGGAATATATAGTAAAGAAGACATCTTAGAAGTAGATCCTCCAGCCCTGGCCAGCTCACCTGCAAGTATGGGGAGCAGAAAAAAAAAATGACTAGGTGAGCTCTTCCCAATAAAATTGTAGTATTAAGTCAATACATTTTGGGAGGGTTTATGAAAGGTCAACAAACAACTGAAATCGAGCTCAAAATTTTATGTCTAGCCAGTGATAAGCAATGTGATGAGAGCTGTGCATTAGGAAAATGAGCCTAGCTACAACGTGAGACATCTGGTGCCAAGAAACCCAGGAAACAAGAGCCAGTCAAGTCTGAACTACAGATAACAGTATGCAGGGGGAGGAAAAAAATACAAGATACAGACTGCAGAGTTAGATTTAATGGAAGTGTGTGTTTTTTGGTACCGGGGAACGAACTTGGGACCGCATACGAGGCAGGCGGCAGAACCACTGAGCTAAATCCCTGGCCCTGCGTGTGGTTTTTTGAGACAAGGTCTCGCTATGTAGTTCAGGCTAGCCTTGAACTCACTGTGTACACCATGCTGGCCTCGAACTCACTGCACTCCTCTACCTCAGCCTCCTGAGTTCTGGGATTACAGGCTACCATAAGCTACCATGCCTGGTCAATGGGACTTTTGCATGTAACTGGCCCATCAGTGCAGGAGGAAGTAAGGAGTCAAAGTCAGATGCTGAGGTCAAGTGAACACAGGATGGTAACATTAAAGATGAATGAGGCAGACGAGCTCAGAACCAGAATATGTAATATTTTGGGTTGTTTTGTTTGCAGTACTGGGGATTGAACCCAAGGACTTTGTGCTGAATTACAGTATATGTCTAGCCTTATTTTGTATTTTGAGACAGGGTCTTGGTAAGTCGCTTAGTTGCCCAAGCTGAGCTGGGACTTGTGATCCTAACAGCCTCCCAGAGTGCTGGAATTATAGATGTGTGTACCATCACGCTCAGTTAACGTGTTCATTTTAACAGACAAAATGGAATATTAACGTAAAATAACATTCGTAATTACAGACACTACTTTGTAAATAATCTGGAATTTAGCAGAATTTAAAAGCACTCAAAATCAGTTGGTCTTTTTACAATAGGCAAGGATCTAAACTTTAACTTTAAATTCACAACTTTGAGGTGGGTGGGCTAAGCTTTTTAACAAAAAACATGATTTTACTTAACTGTCAACAGATTTGGAAACTAGAACAGATAAATAAGCAAACCTCTAGAAGAGGGGCAAAATGACATGGGGTCTGTGAGCTCATGACACCCTGTCTCTTCCATCCCAAGTACTGCTTACAACCTCTACTCCTTAATATATTTTCATACAGCACTGAGCACTATTTTTTAAACCATAAGTCTTACCATGGCAGAACCAAAATCCTTACTATCGGTTATAAAATGCTGCATCCTATGGCCCTTGTGGACATGGGCAAAGTCCCCTCACACTTCCTCCCCATGTTATTCTCCAGTGACAATGACCAGGCTCCTTGATCATGCACTGCTCTTTCCCTCCATCTGAGGCTGTTCTCTGGCGGATGACCCCCTACCCCCACCTCGGGGCTCACAAAGGCTAGGCAAGTGCTCTATCACCGAGTCCCAGCCCCAGCATGTTCACTCTGTCTTTGACCAAATTACCTCTATTCATCCTCCAGTTTTTCACTTCCTCAAGAGAACCTTTCTAACAAATCCTAGACATCCTTCCTCACCATGTCCGTTCACACATCCTCACTTCTTCAAAGTATCCACCACACAATGATTTCAGAACCGTTATTTGGAAAACTCTGTTTACTACTGGTCTCCTCTGCCAGAACTTTAAGTTCCAAGGAGGCAAGGCCATGTATGTTCACTTCTGCGGCCTCGGGACACAGCCCACTGCCAGACATGAAGCAGATGCTACAAAACTGCTTTTGGCACCTCAGTTTCTTCTCTTTTCAAATGAAGAGAATACCAGAACCTGCATCA